ATGCCAGAGGATGCCAGAGGATGCCAGAGGATGCCAGAGGATGCCAGAGGATGCCAGAGGATGCCAGAGGATGCCAGAGGATGCCAGAGGATGCCTCAAGTATGGACAGTGGTGCTGGTAGTAGTAGTAGTAGTAGTGCTTAGTGTACTGTACTGTTGTACTGTACTGTACCTACAGGCACTGAGCGGAGGAGCTGAGCTGAGGTAGGCCACTCCTTCTGAATCAGGCAATCATGCTCCTGCTCCAGGCTCATAGTAGGTATGTATGTATAGGTCCACGGTACCAGGTAGGTACCAAGTTACTCCAGGCTGTAGGTATAGTATTCAGTTACTCGCGGTATTCATTCATACATAGTACATACTAAGGTCTTTTCCACTCTCTCCGATCCTTCTCTCCTTATCCTGAACTACATCTCCATTGCCACACCACTCACTCACTTACTCACTTACTCACTCACTCACTCACTCACTCACTCACTCACTCACTCACTCACTCACTCACTCACTCACTCACTCACTCACTCACTCGATCACTCTAGTCACACTTCCTTCCTTGATTTCTTTTTCTTCTTTTTTTTTCTTTTTCTTTTCCATTCCGTGGTTGCCTCTCAATAATCATTGACAATCCTACTTGATTGGTGCGCTGGTGGCTGGAAAACGGAGTCGCCTGTTCGACGTGGCATGCAGACATGCCAACAGCAAGTGGATCGCCCGCCTTTCCTCGCCATGGCCCCGCCATCTAGTCTAGGTACGGACTCCTGTACTGGGAGTCTGCGATGGAGTAAGTTACTCCCTACTCCTGAGCACTCGGACCATACCATAATCATCGAAAGGCTATGACATCCTGATGATCACTGACTGGCTTCCTTCCTTGTCGCCGCCAGCTGCCGGATATCGGCCCCCAGCATGGTTTGCCGACCTTGTGAGGTGTTCTTGTTATGCACGTCAATGCTTTGACGATCACCCCTCCTCACACTCTCCGGTGCGCTGAGCTTGTTCTTTGAGTACTCATCTACATGGGTCGCACTCTAGTCGGATGGAGTACCAATCCAGGCTTGCCATGAGATGAGGAAAATTGCCTCTTTGCCTCCCTCCCTTCCCCTGAGTCTTGCCCCCAACTTTCAATCTCCGACAGTCGCCTAGATCTATAACCTTCTTTGTTGCATGATTCGCCATGCATCGGCACCTAGGCCGCAGAAATTTCGAATCACGGGAAAATTCGATAAAGAGGGGCACTTTCTGGCGGTCAGATCACACCGTCCATTAATTAGTAGTTGCAGCAGCAGACGTGCCCGAAGCAGGAACCAACGAGACAACCCATCAATCCAGCAGGCTGCCCCTCAGTGGCTCCCCAGACTGGCTGTTTGCTGTCATGCCTGACCGTCATTCGTTGCTTGCTCGTTCTGAGTGACCCCCGGCGATTTAATTCTGAGATCAGGAGGCCCAATGCCAGGCCCCGACTGAGCGAAGAGCCCTCTCTGCAGCGTCTGAGTTCGGTTGCTGTTGGCTCTTCCTGCATGGCCGACACCCTTCATCGCGGTTTCAGCATCTCTCCCTTCTGGGACATGGCCATGCTCCACTCCTGCCAATCCCTATCGTCCACCTCGTTCAAGGACCCTCTCGCCTCACCCAACTTTCTTTTCTGACATGATGCCGTTGTTTGCACCTGGCTCCGACGCTTTCCCCACCGTTTCCTGATAGGCGCCCCGTCCGCCATGGGCAGGGCCACCTACCGCACCGTCCGCCGGCCTCCCCCACGGTGACCTGGCGGTCCCTCTGAGCAACTTCCCCTCGTCGCTAGCTTCGATCTAGCTTCACCGAAAGAGTATCCGCCATGGGCCTCTGGCGAGGGGCGAAGACCTACCGATAGGAGTCAGCGCTGCCCGGACGGGGACTTGATGCCTCGTGGACTCACTGGGCATTCATTGTTGTCTGGACGCCATGCGAATGGATGCAGGCCAGCCTGCGGTAGTCGGCCTGATTCCCCTTGGTTGGAACAACTGGCTTTATTCGCACGATAATTTTATCTTGGTCTAGCAGTGGCTTCGAAACGCTCGTGATTGGATCACAGTTGGGCATTCTGCGTGATTCCTCCCTGAATCCTAAAGGAGGGCCGACATTTTGCCTTGAAATAGTGCTGCTTCTCGCCTGGTCTTTTCGTTTCTCCTTCCCCCTCATGATCTCATCTACCTCAATCTCTCCCGGCTGCGTGTATATAATCCTTCTTCACGTCGCTTGACTTAACGTCAACGCTGCAGTCACCTCACCCAGGAATTCCTCTTACTGGGGAACCGGCACTCCATCGTTGTATATCCTTGGGTCTCAACCCCCCCTTACTTCGCAACCTTTCCGGAGACTTGCCAATCCCAACACTTATACCCTTCGATGCTCACGGAGAATTACCTCCAGTGAGCAAATAACCGCCATCATGCCTCTTTCACATCTTACCTTGACCGTTTCCCACCTTCCAACCTCCACTTCCTTCTTCCTTTCCTGCTTACAACCGCTCGGCTATCAATTTATTGGCCGCCATGATGACTACATTGGTTTCGGTCAGAAGCAAGGCGAGCCCGCTGATTTCTGGATAACCGAACAGAAGCCAGGGTAAGTTATTGGCTATTGCACCATGTGAAGCGTTGGGCGACGACTAACGAAGCTCTTCAGAGTTCCAGCCGGTGCAGCACATGTCGCCTTCCCAGCAACCTCCAAGGATGCAGTAGGAACTTTCTTCATTAGTGCGCTCAAGGCCGGTGGCAAGATCCACGGAGAGCCCAAAATGCGCGACTCAGAGTCCGGCTACTACAGCGCCGCGGTGATCGACTTTGACGGTAATAGTATTGAGGCTGTCTACCGACCCAGCAGTTCCTCGGCCAGGTCCGAGGTCAAGTCAGTAGTCAAGTCGGAGATCAGCCGGCCAGCTCTGGCCTTGTTGGAGAACGGATCTGTCGTCTCGAAGGCGAGCAGCAGAGCCAGCTCAGTCAAAACCGAAAGTATTGCCCCGCCTCGATCGGAAGCCCGGTCAGAAGCTCGGTCGTACGTGTCGAAGACAAATACTACCATCGAGAGAGCGGTGCCTCTCGAGCGAGGCGCCCCGTCAATGGTGAGTCGGGATCATTACCAGCCGCCGCGCGATATTCAACCAGCTCCGTCGCCGACCTACATTGTACACCACACGACACATACAACGCAGAAGACAGACAATGACAAAACGGCCAAGACGATTGTTGGCACTCTCATCGGAGCCGCAGCGGGTGCGGCCTTGGCTTATGCCATCGCCAAAGGCGACTCGACTGAGTCCACTGAAACCAACTCCGCGCCTTCCCAGTTTTCTCCTAAGGATATTGCTCAGCTCCTCTCCCCGTCCCAAGCCTCTTCTCAGACGCAAGAGTACCCCAACTTCAAGGCCATCGAGGCAGGCCCAGCCCGGAGTACTTACTCCGTTCGGTCTGATGGCCGGCCGATGCTCACTCGTAGCGTGACGTCGAAGAACCCGCGTGCAAGCACTATCTATGAAGGAACGGAGTTTGCTCCCCGCGGCAGCGGCGGCAGCGTGTATCTCGATGAGAACGGGCGCCGGGCCTCGGAAGGAAGCGTTTACAGTACCCGGGACATTCCCCTACGCGCAATCGAGTACGGGCAGCCGGACTCGCAATCTCGGGGCTATGAAAGCACTTTGATCAGCAGTTTTCCCGATAAGTCGCGGGCGATGGATCGGGAAAGCGTCTATTCGGCGTCGACCATCAAACCGTCTAAGGGCAATTATCAAGAATCCCACCATGGCTCTCACCGGTCATCTCACTCCCACCACTCTACACCTCGCACTCTCCCGCCAGGGAGCACAGCCTCATCCGTTCGCTCTGCACGGCAAGCCCCTATTCCGGAGGGCTCCTCCATCGGGTCCCTTGCTTCCTACCGTAGCGGGGCCAAATCGGGTGTCTCGGCCCGCGAAGTGCCTCTCCCAGAGAGTGTTATCGACCTTGATGTTCGGAGCAACGTGACTCCTGACGATTCGATCAGCCAAGTGGATGATTCTCGGCGCTCATCCTACTCCCACAAGTCCCATGCCTCGAAGGCCGCTGGGTCTCGCGTCTCGAAACACTCTAGCAAATTTGATGAGCCTGTCAAGCCAAGTGACAGTGTCAGCCAAGTCTCCAGCAATGTCTCCCAGCGGACCATGAAGGCGGGCGGTGGTGGTGGTGGAAGCATCGCCCCTTCCAAGGCAGCGTCCAAAATGAGCAGTCGTCGGGGCAGTAGCCAGGTTGCGTGAACGCATCCAGCTCTTGGGCATCCATCTTTTACCTGTCATCTGTCTTTTGGACCACTGTCGTTTTTTTTCTTACGATAATTACCTTACTGCTTGAACCAGGCCCGGGTTTCTTTCCTCCCGCGCGTGGTCTTCGCCATACAATCCGAAGTCAACAGTGATTGAATTCCTTGCATCCCTCCAGACATGTACCTTAGCAATGTGAGGCCTGGTTCTATTTTGCTTGCTACATACATGGGACATATACACAACATACATACATCTGTTCGCATCATAACGGGGCGTTCTGATCTTTTCTGGTTGTGGTTTTTTTTTACGGGCATGGCGATAAAGGTATCATATGGCTTTAGCTTTCTTTTCAAATTCTCCTATATGTGAATGAATATAAGTGACGAGATGAATTATAGCTCTGCTTTGACTGTTTGTCTTGGAGATCTCACCGCACGAAGGCTCTTAAACCACGCCAGTCACGTGTTAGGGGATTACAATCTGCCACCCCAAGTGCCAACCAGAGCAACTAGGGCATGGAGGACACACTACTGCTAGACACCTATTACAAAGAAAGTCTCAAGTCACCAGTTTGGGATTAGCTTGGCTCCTGAATGCACTATCTGATACAAACCAAACCCACCACTAGCAACCTCATCATGTCGTCCATCGGCCTTCCATCACCCCCACCACTACTTCGACCGTCACGACCAACCTCGAACCATCCTTCCCACGTCCACCACCAACCACCCCCGACCCGAGGAAAACAGCCTGGGGTTTAATGTTCAACATTGTAACATGGGATCCGACTCCATTCAGAGAAAATAAAAAAATGCCATGAATGCATAATGAGAATTGGTCATAATGATCGTTGAATATGACATTTCCCGCCAAGAGAAAGTGAAATAAGGGGTTTGAGGTAAAGGGGAATCAGACGCGCAAACTGAAAACAAGGAAAGGATCTACGATCACGGTACGCCAGGCTTCGGATCTGATCTAACGATTTGGAAAGAAGACGCAGAAGCGAGTGGGAAGACCAAGGTGGCCGTGGAAATTTGAATTGCGAAGATCAGATAGCGTATTTGCGAGTCCATTCACGCGCGGTCGCCTCGTACCGAGGACGGTCGGTCTTGTACACGTGCGCAATCTCGGGCACCAACGGATCGTCGGGGTTGGGGTCGGTGAGCATCGAGCAAATCGAGAGTAGCACTGCGGATGGAGTTAGCGGGTGTGAAAGCCGATAGGGGGCGCAACGGGAAGGAACGAACCCTTGGAGATCGTGAGAGCAGGGCTCCATTGGTCTCTGAGAATGTCAAGACAGATGCTGCCGTTCGAGTTGATGTTGGGGTGGTAGATGCGGGTGGTGAAGTTGACCTTCGGGGGCTTAAATGGGTAGTCGGTGGGGAAGTGGATGTTCAAGAAGAAAACGCCTCCCGAGTATGGGGAGTCACCCTGGCAAAGGCTACGTTAGTACACATGCGGTACAACCATTAAAAGATGCCCTGTCAGTACGAGCGTAGGTCATCTCCGTCTCTCGAAAGAGGGCCAAGACAAGCCCGACCGTGTCGTACATCCAGGGATGGATTCTAGGAGACTCACAGGACCCATGATAGTTGCTTGCCAGTGGAACTAAGCGCGCAGAAAAAGAATTCAGTCAGCATGATTGTCCACCAGAGAATTGCGGACAGAAAGGTAACATGAACGGTCTGCGTTGTTGAGCAGCCCCGCCGCGGTCGGCATGAGGGGGGCGAAGCGACCGTGTTTGGACAAGAGGCACGCGGGAGGGGATGAGGGCATACCAGGTCATCTCCGGTAGGACCAGCAGAGCAGGAAGAGGGGGGATCACTATAATGCAAGAATAACACTACGTTAGCCTATGCTGCAGGGTGAAGTCATCACAGAATCTGGCGATTTTGTTGATGGATGAGGTGTGGTATAGTAGGGCAGATGACTCGAAGAGCACCCCGCGGCTGTGGTGGGGTGTGAGGCGCCCGGGAGCCATCATCATGGCGGCATCCGAATGAGGTGGATAGACCCAAGGAAAGAAGACGTTGAGAGAGCGCTTACCGGCCGAGGTCAGTGAGTTCCTTGTTAATACGCTTGAGAGCCATGCTGTGATCTGGGAAAGAGTGGAGGGAAAGACCCCTGAATGAAGTGTCGAAAGAGAGGGGGAGGGGAGGGAGGGGAGGAAGAGAAAGGCGGGTATCGAATTTGAAGGTGGGAAAACTGCTCAAGCACCAACACAGTCAGTAAAAGGAGACAGGGTCCACTGTCGAGGAGGAGGAGGAGGAGAGACGATAAATATAAGAACAAAGAGTATATAGAGATTATAAAATCCAGTCTAATAAGGAAGAGGTAGGGGGTAGTAGGCAAAGTTGGTGTTGGGAAAGAAGAGGAGGGGCAGGAAAGAAGACTCACTCACAGAGACGGGTTTGATTACGTCGGGAAGACGAGGAAAGAGGGAAGAGGAAGAGGAAGAGAAAGAAAAGAGAGAGAGAGAGAGAGAGAGGAAAAAGAGGGAGGGGAAAGAAAGACTAGGCAAGGAAGGAAGGAAGAAGAAAAGGCGGGTGTGGCCCACTCTCCGTTACCGTACTAGGTATTGTCATTACCAACCCATTTCTCATCCTCACCTCAGCCGACCGCTGAGTCAGCCGTCAGCTTTCTGGTTCCTGCTGGCTAAGACCTGCATCAGCCACATACTCCCCTCATACTGTACTGTATTGTACTGGTACTGTCCAGACAGCACACCTCATCAGCCCATACTATGCAATCAATAACTAACTACTTATTAATAACTTCAATTTCTTTTCTCGCCTCTTTCAGCAACATCCACATCCTGGAATCCCATGAACAGTACCACCAAGGCAAGTTCGCCAGATAGATACCCCTCGATATGGGAAAGAAAAAGACTTAAGATGGCCTCAGGGCTGTGGGGGTCGAGTCATCGAAAGTGGGGAATCCCACTTCTCAAGGCTCATCGACCAAATCATGGTTACTTCCAGCCACGTTAGTGAGGTTCTTCCCAATCCGGGTTTGGTTCTGAATTTCCTGCATCTTGCCACTTCTTTTTTTCTTTTTCCTTTTTTCTTGTTTGTTTCATTAATTGTTTCCGAAACATACTCGAGTACGGAGACTGTGCCGTATGTCATCCCGCATTCTACGGGGTACGCATTCATACGACATGTCCCATGTGAACTAAAATCAGGCACACATTACTAGAAGGTGAAATATTACTGCTGCTTAACTACAGTCAATAACATAAATCTACTGTACTGTAGACTCGAGTAGAACTACAGTACCTAATTACTCGATACACCACTAAGCCCCCTTCCGCTGGATTCAGCAGCCTTACGGTCGAGAGCAGGCAACTGGGCTCCCAGGTGACTACTCAGTACATAGTAGTCCTCATTCCTCCGCCACGTCGGTGTCAATCCTTTGGGCTTGAATATTCCTCATGAGGGTTCGGGTTCACTTTGCCTCGCCTCGCCTCGTCTCGCCTCCCTCGCTCGTCATCGAATGCGGCGAAGATGTAGTGTGGCTGTTCAGTGGTAGATTCAGCCTGTTCCATCGGAACAGTTACCAGTAACTTAACTCGGTTTTACATACAAGCACCAGCGCCAGCACAAACGGCAGTTTCCCGAACATCGGTTTGCCAAGGTCCCACGTGGCGCAGCACATGGCACGTGATTCAGGACGGCGCTTGCGGTCTCGAGAATCGTCCGAGAAGGCTGACTACAAGATGAATGTTTGGATCTATGTTGAATTCGGTACTCGGTCACGGAATGACTGGCTGCTTATGTACATATGTGGTATGATGTGGGCATGTGTGGTGGCGTGGACGAGCTGACTTACGGTATGCCATCATCTGACCGGGAACATTGACTGTCATGCTTTTATACTGGAGATGCGACGGGGCTGCTTGCGCTAGACGAAGGCTTGAACGCCCGTGATGGCCCGTCCAAGTATTAGAGCTATGATGAGTTGTAAGTATTTTGAGTACTAAGGCGGGGAAAGGGGGGGTGGGGGGATCCGTACTATGAATGTCACTCTGTCCCTCGTAGGTTTGCACCACGAACAAGTTGGCAACGTGGCGGGCAATATGGTATTCATCGCTGGTCGCATTGCCGCCGAAGACCTCTTGGAGTCTGCAGTTCAGAAAATAGAGGGTCAGCTGTGTCTTCGAGGGTCAATAGAGAGGGTGGGTCCATACATCCGCGAGTTAGCCAAGGCACGATCACAGTTCTGTCGCTTAACCATCGAGATCATTTCAGGGGTGCATTTGCCAGCATCCTTCAACCGCGCTACTTGCGTCGCAGCCAGGGTACCGTAAGCCGCGTCCGTCGCCGCATCCGCCAGCTTCTTCTGGATCAGTTGGTACTTCGCCAATGGGTTGCCCTTGAACTGCTTCCTTTCCAGGGCATACGTCCGGGCCCGGTCCAAGCAGTCCTCAAGGGCACCCATGGCGCCAAACGCGATACCCAACCGAGCACTATTAAGACATGTGAAAGGACCCGCAAGGCCCTGTACCTCCGGGAACATGTTCTCCGCAGGGACAGGACAGTCGTCCATCTGGATCATGCCCGTGATCGAGGCACGCAGAGCGGTCTTGTTCTTGATGGCGGGGGTTTCCAGCGTGCCAGGAGGGCATTGGCTGCGCTCGACGACAAACCCCCGGATTTTGCCCGTGGTCTGCAGCTTAGCCCAGACAACCATGATGTCCGAGATCGGGGAGTTGGTGATCCAGGTCTTGGTACCAGATAACAAGTAGTATCCCTTCTTAGTGGGATGCTCCCGTGCCACTGTTTCCATAGAGCCCGGGTCGGAGCCGTGGTTGGGTTCGGTGAGGCCAAAGCAGCCAGCCAACTTGCCCTTCGCCAGCTCGGGGAGGAGGCGATCCTTGAGCTCTTGCGTACCGAAGTCATGAATGGCCGTCATTGCCAGAGAGCTCTGCACCGACATCCCTGAGCGGTATCCCGAATCCACGCGCTCAACTTCCTTGGTGATCAATCCAGATGCCACGGTGCTGGCTCCTGCGCATCCGTATCCTTCGATGCTGGCGCCGAGAAGGCCGAGCTCGCCCATTTCCTCGAGAATCTTGCGGTCGTAGTCTTCATTTCGGTAGGCATCTAATCGGAGCACCAAGGTCAGTCACAATCGCATCCCATACATTGCTACCACTGACTTGGATCACCTACCGAGAACACGAGGCAGCAGACGTTCCTGGCAGTACTGCCGGGCGGTATCTTGAATTGCCAACTCCTCCTCAGTATACAGTTCGGATGCAACCAGAGGGTCTTCCCAGTCAAAAGTCGCATATCCACGTTTGGAATTGGCGAGTGACGCGGCAGTGGCAGGTGCTGCATATAGGCGGTTTGCCGCCCGGAGGTGGCGCGAGGCCGTGCGGAGAACGAACGGGTTCATCTTCGAGAAGAAATCCGATGGGAGGAAAAGTGTGAAACTTGGAAGAGCAGTCTATACAAATGTTCTATCGCCCAGATGCTCAATTGATCAGTTTAATTGTGATCGAAGAAGAGACGTGGGAATGCATCGACGTCACCAAGGGGTGAGGGGAAGGGAAAGCGGGCGGGAATCTCTTCTTACTGAGCTGGAAGAAGCGTTCAAGGTTGCGGGGAGACGGCACTCAAAACACAGCCTCGGTAAATCCCGTCGGAAGACGTTGTTTGTACTGTACTGTACTAAATACTCAAGGAGCACGGAAGAGCACAATGACCCAACAACCTGAATAGACTGGAAGAAGATAGAGAACGCCGAGCTGGACAGGCGCCAATGCTCCCTATTTAAAAAGGTACTTTTCTTGTCCTTTCGAGGAAAAGAAGAAGATGGTTGAACCTCGAACCGATCGATCCGCGGAGGAGTTGAAATGCAGTGAAGGGCGGAGACTTCGGCTTGCCTTCCGTCCCCGTCGGCCCTTCCATCCAATCGATAAGATCGATAAGCTCTCTCCAGAACATTGATAGGGAAGACCTGCCTACAGCCCTGAGTACATACATCCAGTACTGCCAGGTGCGAGGTTTACCTGTGTTTATGAGTACGTATGCAGCAGTCTTCTGCTACTAGGTATATAGATAGATTCCTACTCAAATAGCACCCCATTCTCACATCCTGGTACCGCCCCACCCCAACAACAACACCAGACTCAACATAGTAACATATATTCGTCGTCATTGCATGCGTCCTGCGCAATTCGTCTCCTGTCGTTATCGTTATGCTCTATGTATATAACATCTCTAAGCAGGCATCTGAGACTGAAGAAAATCGAAGACTCCGGTTGGGAAATACTCCTCGTCAAACCCCCATAAATCAGCCATCATCGGATCGACCGAGCCCTCCCAAAGTCCAACCTCTTGCTTCTCATTACCGGGATTGGACTCGGAAGTACTTCCTCTCTCTGCTGAGAGTGGTGCTACCCCCAACAAGGCCGGTGGGTGGTTGTGGTTGAGGATCGATTCCCGTCCACCCAGAGTTTGCGGTCCAGGGACGACAACAGGTTTGGACAACGAGGTATTATCCTGAGAATTCTGTCCCAAGGACAGGGTGCTATTGCTGGTTCGCTTCTCGAACTCCTCCAAGCCTGTAAGCATCTTCTTCAAGCCACGGGCAATGTGATGACTAAGATGGTGCTCACTGGCGCGTTTGCTGCACGAGACCATCATGTCAATGATCCGGCTAACCAGCGCACGAACATACCCGACCTCGATGAGCAAGCCGGCCGATGCGATGGAATTTTGCTGGCCCGTAGTCCCCGTCGCACCACTTGAGCAGCCTTTCGCAGCGATTTTCAACAAAAATACAGCCGCGAAAGTGATCATACTGTGAAGGTAGAGCGGAACCCCCACCAAAGCCCGTTCGATGTCGGGCTCATCAAGGACGACCCGAAGCGTGTCAATAGCTGATCGTATTGCTATACTTGCTCGGTGCTTCCGCTCATTGGACATGGGCCGCGTAGAGCTGGACGAATGATAGGTTCGCAGAGCGACCGAATTGAGCTGCAAGCGAGAGAAGTGGTAGTGTAGATAGACCGCTTTGTAGGGATACTTTCCGACATATCGACTCCCCACTGTGTTGTCTGGATTAGCGCATTGTGTCAACGAGCATCGACAGCAGCGACATACCTAGGCGAGGGATCCAGGACGATTGCCAGTCCGCAAGAGCAGCATCGAACTTATCAATCTCGGAGAATTGGCTATCAGGAACCTCCAGGTCAACGTCAGGACCAAAGGCATGGTAAATGTGGGTGAGGATGATGAACAAATCAACCTGGCTGTGCAGGCGCAAATCCCCTTGTTGCGTGTTCGGGGATTGTATGAAAATATTGTGGTTCTTTATGCTCAAGTCTTCGTGTATTATGGGAGGCCGCCCATAGGCGATGGAAAAATGATGTTCTAGGGTCTAAGGAGGTCAGTAATAAGATCCAACTCATGGTCGGTGCCGGGCAGCGAGAGAACTCCACCACATACATATAAGAGATACCACAACCGTGCTTGCTCTATATGTTCCGGAGAGCCTTGTGTGGCTTTTCTATACGATTGATGCAGGTTGTGCTCCGTTGCTATGCGAACGGCATATCCAGATAGCTTCCAGCTCACGTCGGCAAGCCAAAAGGCCCCTATACAGAGGGCGCGTAGATCATCCAACGTATGATGTCGATCTAACATAGACTCCGATGCTAGTTTCGCGAACTCGGTGTAGCAGATTTCATACACCCGCTCTTTGCTCGGCATGTGAAGAGCTGTCACGGCGAGGATGGCAGCAGAGAGCATTGAGGAAGAATTGCGCACTGAGGTTAGATCCTTGTGATTTAGCAATATACCATCCCATAAGTAGCGACTGAGTACTTGATCGAAATGAGAGAATAGTTCCTCTGCTTCTTGTTTGTCCACGACTCCCCCTGATATGAAATCTGTGACAAGGGCCCGGTCCAATGCATGGTGTCTCCCCGGGGACGTGGTTTGAATGTCGCTCAGCTGAGTCACCTCGTACAAGCTTCCCATAGGAGCAGTGACTAGGGATGATGCTCCGTTCTCTTCTCTGTCGAGGGAATACTGCGGCGGTCGGTGAGTGGTAGTGCTAGGTGCACTATTCTCAGTCATTGCGGTATGCGCAGGCTCAGTGGGTTTTGTTCCCCCGCTATGGTTGCTTGTCGGGAACAGCGCATCTTCTATAGATGCCATAGAGTCGTTGCGATCCCTCGTCTTCGACGACGGTTCAGCTGACTTGCTGATCGCTTGGTAGTAGGATAATTCGGGGAGTCGAGCTTTGCGAAGCAAGTCCGCCATCGCAAGTTCCATCGCTGCCTTCCATCTTTGCGTGATGCACAGAATTAATCAGCGATTTGATGTGATTCAAAGCCGTAGGGGATGCAGGAGGGATCAAATACTCTGTCTCATCGTCTAGCAATGTTTGAAGACTTTTGTTGACCACACATTCTAATCCCATCCGGCGACATCGATGACATGCCGTTTCCCCCTCATTCATGTCACATCGCACCTTGTGCCGCTTGCACTCTGTGCAAGCGCGTATTCGGCGCGAGATCTTGGGAACATGCTTTGGACTCTGCCGTGCATCGTGTTCGGGGGTGCGGTGGGCTGCTATATCCTGAGGGGAGATAGCTGACGGACTATCGCCATTGGCCTCGAAAAGGTGACGACTTCGCTTCATGGCGGCAACGGATTCATCGTCTTCAAAAACAATCAATTAAATGAAAAACGCGCAATCAAGTGTCAAGTGAGCATATGGCTGGTTGCGATGCGAATGGATTCACAGCCACTACTGCGATAAGATTCAAGGCGGAGAAGGGAAGAGGGGCTTGCCGCTTGGCATGGCAGCTTTGGATCGGCAATAAGTACGGGGGGTTAGCGGCGTACGGACGAAGTACTATAAGTACGGAGAGAGAGAGGAGGGGGGGAGGGGTTCCTGGAGGTTGTGTGGTTTGCAGGAGTTGTACAGCAGCAGTGGCAGCAGCAATAATAATGGCAGGCAAGTGTCAGTCTAGCACGGGGCACAGCACAAGTCAATCAACCACTGCTCATTAATATTTCATTCCGAGGCCTAGTAACTTACCTGGCTAGTCTACTAATAGTCTAGTAGTCTAGGCCGTGGAGCCCGGCTTATGTAAGAGAACTCCGGGGACGGGTAATCGCCCGAGTCTCCGCCCGAGTCCCAATTAGGTCTAATTATGACGCACGGCGCGTTCAACCTCTCCCAGACCGCGTTTTTTTGTCGCGGCCCGCAAGAACTGCCTTCCTTCTGCTTCATCCCATTTATTCACCTCCCTGCTCGCCAGGCAAAGCTCGTCGCATAACATATCCATAGTCTCTTCCGAGTATACCCAGATCCGGATCAGCCAACATGGGTATTAAAAGTAAGTCACGCTAATTACCACCTTGCCAATTCCGAATCGTCAACTGTACACCCTCATGAGCTCAGCAATGCTAATCTCCGCCACCATTAGACCTCTTTTCGGTAATCTCGGAAGAAGCCCCTGATGCCGTAAAGACGGGAGAGATCAAAAACCACTTCGGCCGCAAGGTCGCTATAGTATGTCCAGTCCCCAATTGAATCCCTGCTTTTGTTAGTTAGTTGGCTAGCTGCATCTGTGCTTGTAAGCAGGGCTAACCACTATCTTATGTCGCAGGATGCGTATGCTATCCCCAGATCCGGCTCGGTCTTCAATCTCCTTCGTGACTAATGCCAGTTCAGGTCCATGAGTATCTACAGCTTCCTCATCGCTGTCCGCTCCGACGGTCAGCAGCTCATGAATGAGACCGGAGAGACCACATCACACCTGATGGGAATGTTCTATCGCACGCTAAGAATGGTCGATAATGGCATCAAGCCTCTATACGTCTTTGATGGCGCTCCGCCAAAGCTCAAATCGGGAGAATTGGCCAAACGTTTTGCCCGGAGAGGCGAGGCGACGGAAGCGCACGAGGAGGCCAAGGAGACGGGTACTGCAGAGGACGTGGAGAAATTCTCTCGTCGCACAGTACGAGTCACCAGGGAACACAATGCAGAGTGCAAGAAGCTTCTGAAGTTGATGGGCATCCCGTACATTGACGCCCCGACGGAGGCCGAGGCACAATGCGCGGTGCTTGCGCGTGCTGGCAAAGTCTATGCTGCCGCTTCGGAAGATATGGACACGCTGTGCTTCGAAACACCCATTCTTCTGCGTCACTTGACATTTAGTGAGCAGAGAAAGGAGCCTATTCAGGAAATTCACCTAAGCCGTGCGCTGGAGGGGCTTGGCATGGATCGCAAGCAGGTATATCTCCCACACAAACCCTCCATGATCATTCTGCACTTGCTTACCCTTCCACCAGTTCATCGACCTCTGTATCCTACTCGGCTGCGACTACCTGGAACCCATCCCCAAGGTGGGTCCGAACACGGCACTGAAACTGATTCGGGAGCACGGGACTCTTGAGAAGGTGGTTGAGTTCATCCAGAACGACCCCAAGAAGAAATATGTCATTCCCGATGATTGGCCGTATCAGGATGCCAGAGAACTTTTCCTCAATCCCGACGTACGGGATTCCAACCACCCCGACTGCGACTTCAAGTGGGAAGCGCCCGACGTGGAGGCCCTTGTGAAATACCTGGTTGAAGACAAAGGCTTCAATGAGGACCGGGTCCGCAGCGGTGCTGCCCGCCTGCAGAAGAATCTCAAAACCGCCCAGCAGTCCCGTCTGGAGGGATTCTTCAAACCAGTAGCCCGAACGGATGCGGAGAAGGCCAATCTGAAGCGCAAGCATGATGAAAAGATTCAGGAACAGAAGAAGCGCAAGAAGGATGAGGCTAAGGCTAAAAAGGAGGCCAAGGCCAGACCCCGTGGCGCTGGCTGATTGATGGACTACCCAGTATGAAATCTAATTCGAGAGCCCCGAGGTTGGGCGGGCAGGGGGGAAAAACCGAAGGCACTCATTAAGTTCCCATGGGATCGACACAATCAAGGGAATACCTGATATATCGCGTCTCTGGGAGAGTGCCTTGATTTGAAGCTTGGCGGCGTTTTAAGGCTCTGGTCATCGCAAACATGGCAAGGCGTTTATATTGGTGGGGATGCGCTAGCATAGCGTTATTACTTATTGATGATGGAATTTACCTTGTTCGCTACGGGTGGTTGCATAGTACGTATATACACGGTGTGGAGTATAACTTAATGTAATGTAGGTAATGACCTCGGATGCTTGGGACAGGTCTCACACCCGCATCGACTAATGGGGTTCAACCCCGCCGTAGGAGGTAAGTAAGCCAGATGGCATAGCAGTACCTACCTTATTGCACCGGGGAGCCGTCAGACTCGGCACAGCCATCGTAAATCGAGCTGAATGCTCGTCCGTGAGGCCAGTCGTGAGCTTGTAACAATCAAGCTGGTTTGCTTTGTTCTCCGAGATGCGCCGGTGGTATGATGACAATTCCCCGACAATGGTGGGGTCACGCGATCCCCGATCTTCTAGGCATGTAATTTTGAGAGAGTGATGGGTATGGAATCGACAGAACTATAGCGCTTGATTTGTTTATTTGCTTGATATATTCAATAATGAATTGCTCATCTTTCGGCATGTAATTTCCAAGAGGCTCATTGGTGATGCGCTCACCCAGGATGTCCATCAGAGAATATATATCTCATCCGTTCGAGTTATTCGGACTGCTACGGTCATTCGCACAACCCAATGCCTTGCTCTACTGTACATGCAAGAAGTGATGAACAAGAAGACGAAAGAGAAAGAGGAGTTTTCAGAGCTTCACTTCGTACATAAACTATGCGATAGCAGGGGAAAATCTACTGTTGGTTGGCGTTGTACGGGTAGATTCTGGCCGAACCGCTTCATGCCTTGATGTACAGTAGGTAAGGTAGTCGACACCACAGCCTACACGAAGTGATAATACTTTCCCTTGACATCATGGCAGAGATGATAGAACACAGTGAAATGAGAGTCGATTACACATTTGGTATAAACCTTCAAGTGTGAGAGTCTCGCTCCGATCACCGCTCGTAGGGTATGTATAAATACCCGTCGTGGCGCTCACCCCATAATCCTCAATCAATTTACAACAAGACACAGCAAATCCTCCCTCACATATACCACATATCTGAAGAGTTCGGTTCATTCAACCGGGGATGAACCAAATAGGCCCCACCGACAGCTCAATTCCAGCACGAGCGCCTAACCACCAACTGTACGGATGAGGAACCACGGATGCAAGACGATCGCTCGTCGGATCCCAAAGACAAAGCCTTGCACCAATAGGTCAATCTCTCAGGACCTCGACTATGACCTACCCTTTTCGAGTTCTTCTCACAATTGATTCGAGGGAAACTGCCCAGGACAAGAAAAAGGAGAAAGGGAAAAAAAGGAAGGGGGGGTGGTGCTGTGGGAGGAGGAAGAGAAGGTTGGGAGTGCATAACATCATTTCCTCCCCCTCGTGACCTTCCCAAGCCTCCTCCGCACGAGGAGATCAAGTGGAACAATGAACCTTCCACGCGCTCCCTATACACCGTTTCAAAGCCACTGGATCCAGCTCAATGGATGCAAGAGATGCAAGGGGCCGACCAGTAACTGCAGTTGGTCGGACTGTGAGCATCATAGCTGCCATCTAGCTCCATGAGCTTGATTGAACTGCAGAGGAAAGGTTGGGGTGACACCGATGGGCATCATCGGGAGTCGCAGGGAGATCCCCACACGTCACCCACCATCGACTAGAAGAATTTTGGAGATACTACGTAAACTCACTAATTGAATAGACCTAGAGGAGATAGAGTGTACAATAGTCTTGCGAATGATGGATGGTAGGTTGGAATGCGACGGGGTGGTGGAAATCAGGTTGTAAGATCGAAAGGTGGGAAAAGCAACACAGCATCGCGGCCGGCTGGGATCAAGAGTTTTTGCTGATAACAGCGAATATATCCCTTCGGGAAAGATTTTAAACCACCTCAGGCGGTAGGAGAGCCGTCGAGAGTGCATATCCGCTAATTTTGAAGGCCAAAGAAGGTAGGTGAATGGGGAAGATAGAGGGGGCAAAAGAACGCGTCAAGGTTGACAGCAGTCGGATCATGCGCGTGAAAAGAGAGAGAAATCGCAGGTTGAGAGGGAATGCTGATTACTCCAACCCTAGAACGCAGCTCTTGATCTTTTTACTGATCAAACACATCTACTTTACCATAAGCAAAACTACCAAAATATATTAGATGAAGATTTTAAAAAAAAGGGAAAGAGAAAAAGAGAATTATCATAAAAATCCATAGAGAGTGAAAAAAAAAAATTAAATTAGCAAAAAGAGGAGAAATACTTTTGACGTGTTGTGCTCGTCTCGTCTCGTTTCTGAGAGCAGAGCAGAGCAGACAGACAGAGGGTGATCCTGTGTCAACACCCGCTGCCCTATAAAGCGCGGATGCCCCGCGGCCCTTCCACCCCTTCCCTCGTCGATTGCTTTTCTTCTCTTCTGCCACAATTCTCCCCATCTCCCACCCCCCTGCTTGAACCTGACGTTTGTCGAGACATCTCCTGAGTCTATTAAACATCTTTCATCATCTATCTGACTCCTCTTTCATCAACTTCTTCCTTTTCTCCTAACCAAAATGCCTCCCAAGAAAGCTACCTCCACCGGCGCGCCCAAGAAGTCCGGCTCGAGCCACGCCTCTTACCGTGGTATGTTTTGACTGATCTTTCCCCACCACCACCTCGCGCTATCTTAATTCTAGCTTCATTTTTGTCGCGAATGACTGCTGATTCGATCAATATAGATATGATCAAGGATGCTATCCTGAATGTGAGTTGATCACGTTGTTCCCGGTGCGCTGTGGGATCACGGGCGCTGGGTGGGAACTTCGCCGACCGTGACACGTCGTCACGGTGCTTAATTGTTCCCAACGCCCCATCAGGCACCGTCTTGTTCCATCCTAGCTGGATCGCTAACATCTATCTAAACAGCTCAAAGAGCGTAACGGTAGCAGGTAAGCTAACTC